TGAATTAGTGATAGGTTCTTTTAAATCGGGCAGCATAAAACAAGGCAGTTCTTAATTCCAGAGGGGGAAAAAGTTGTATAAGTAAGGAAATATGTTTATAGTATTCTACAGAGTCATAGTACAAACTCTGAATATTGCTTTAGTGATTTTTCTATTTGGAGGATGATGCAAAAGAAGGCTTTGTGTGTATTGTGGGGGTGGTGGGTGGAATACAATACCTAAATCCTCAAATTTATAGTGGAAAGTCCATAAGTAATGTCTAGATGGCAGAAGGCCAGAAATCATGGAATAAGCTCGTTGTTTGGAAGTGTGTATGTAAGCAGTAGAAGAAGCAGATGTAAGTAGTAGAAGGAGTAGTCGGGAGTTGAACGTAGTTGCTTTTGAGGAGCAGGAGTCAGCAATGGGGAGAGGTAGGACAGGAGACATGGGTTTTTTATGTGTCCCCTATAGTACTGTTTGTGTTTTTAAACTATATATATATATATACACATATATATATATATGGTTTCTTTGATAAAAAATAAAATGAGCCTGGCCAGTGTGGCTCAGCGGTTGAGCATCAACCCATGAACCAGGAGGTCACAGTCACAGTTTGATACCTGGTCAGGGCACATGCCTGAGTTGTGTGCTCGATCCCCAGTAGGGGGCGTGCAGGAGCCGATCAGTGACTGTCATCATTGACGTTTCTTTCTCTCCCTCTCCCTTCCTCTCTCTGAAATCAATAAAAAATATATTTTAAAAATAAAATGAAAATCACTAGTTGAAAGGATTTATGATAAAGGAGGGCAGTGGGGAGTCAGCTGAAGTTTTGAGCAGGAGCATGACATACGAGGTCAGTCTGGTATGGTTATCTGGATGGCAGTTTATAGGCTGGGTTGGAGTGGGGAGATCAGTTCAGGGATGGTTGGATACAGAAATGCAAGTCAAGGGTAGAGAGACAACAAAATAAAAAGCTCTGGGGCTGAGTGCTTTATTATTGACAGTCAGCAGAAGGAAGAGTCAGGGAAGATGGTGTGGTTTTACTCTGGGAGGACTGACCTAAAGAAGACAGGGAAAGACCTGTTTTCACCAAGTTCCTTTCTCTCAGGTTTCGGGAGAGAGCCTTGGTGTTTAGTTGAATCCAAAGTGACATCAAGTGGTGAAGGCAGGACAGTATAGTGCAGTGGTTCTCAACCTTCCTAATGCCTCGACCCTTTAATACAGTTCCTCATGTTGTGGTGACCCCCAACCATAAAATTATTTTCATTGCTACTTCATAACTGTAATTTTGCTACTGTAAACAATATGTAATTATATATGTGTTTTCCGATGGTCTTAGGCGACCCCTGTGAAAGGGTCGTTCGACCCCCAAAGGGGTCGCGACCCACAGGTTGAGAACCGCTGGTATAGTGGGTGCAAGCTAGACAGAATCTGGGAACTAGCCATGAGGCTGGGAGCTGCTTGGGGGTAGCCATATCTAGGGAAGATTTGAGCTTAAAACAATCATTGAAGAGATTGCACCAAAAGTCATCTCAGTGTAGCCCTGAATGTTGGGAAGATACCAACCTGAAGCATGATAGTCGTTTGAGTAAGATAAGAATTCAGAGAGGATGAAATGTGAAGGTAATCAGGGAACAAAGTCCAACAGTTTAGAATCATGCAACACAATCTATATTGGGTTCTCTTTGCAGTGGACTAGTCCTATTTTCTTCAGTGATGTCTCTTAGCTTTTTTTTTAAAATATATTTTATTGATCTTAGAGAGGAAGGGAGAGGGAGAGAGAGAAACATCAATGATGAGAGAGAATCATTGATCGGCTGCCTCCTACATGCCCCCCACCAGGGACTGAGCCCGCAGCCCAGGCATGTGCCCTTGGCCGGAATCGAACCTGGGACCCTTCAGTCCGCAGGCCAACGCTCTACCCATTGAGCCAAACCAGCTAGGGCATGTCTTTTAGCTTTTAAATTTTTTTTAATATTTCTTATCTTTAACCACTTTCCTTTCCACCCCTCCTTCATACTTAGAATGAAAAATTTCAAGCATACATCAAATTTGAGAGAATAATACAGTGAGTCTCTTGTAACCCTCACCTGGTTCTGACAATTAATAACATTTTATTTCATCTGACCTCTTAGGAGAGGGGCCAATGAATTTTAAAGCAAATCCCAGACATCATATCTTGTGATCCATGAACATATCACATATGTCTCTAACAGATGGGGTGTTTTCTAAAATAACCAAAATACCATTATCCCACCCAACAAAATTAACACTATTTCCTTCTTTCATGTCATACCCAGTTTGCATGTCATTTTTCCTAGTTGTCTTGAAAGTGTTTTTATACTTGATTTGTTTGAATCAGATCCAGATTTAAGATCAAAACATTGCTTTTGGCTGATAGGTCTCATAAGTCTCTTTTAACCTATAAGTTCTCCTACCCTCTTTTTTTTTCCCCCAGACCATTTATTTGTTGAAGATCATGGGCATCTGTCTTGTATAGTTTCTCATATTCTGGATGTGGCTAATTGTGACCTTCTGGTGTTGTGTAACATGCTTCTGTGTCCTTTATCTTTCCTGTAAACTGGTAGTTAGATATGGAGGCTTGATTAGGTTCAAATTCACCTTTAAAACTGAAGTGTAATTTACATACAATAAGATATACAGATCTCAGATGTGCTGTTTGCAGAGTTTTGACAAATGCATGCACTTGTGTAGCCAACACCCCACCAAAATATAAAACGTTTCCATCACCCCATGCAGATATGTCCCTCTCTTACTTTCTTTTGCTCACCTTGCCCTTGTGTATGTGGAAATGCAATGGAACCTGTCAAGCACGGCTGAGGTTTTTACCATCTAGTCTAGCTCTGCCTTGTCCATGGGAGTTTTAGGACCAACTTTGGAAAGGTTGTTTACTCACCAAAGATAATGTGGAGAGTCTTGCTACCATTTGCACCAACCTTCCCACTGGCACCTTATATCAGGGTAATTTCAGAAGCCAATAAAAAAAAATGTGGGATCCAAATAGGCTTCAATAATGAGGAGAGTTTATTGGCTCATATAACAAAAGTCTAGATGTAAGTCCTGGTTTCAAGGGAAGCCTGAACTAGTAGCTCAACAATATCACCGAAGAGCTGGATTTCCCCCCACTTTTCTGCTCTGCCATCCACTGGGTCACCTTCACGTGGTTTGGGTTCAAGATGGCAGCCAATAGCTCCCAGACTACATGCTTTCTCCGTCATATCCTGCAAGGAAGAGAGACTGCTTTTTCCAGAATTCCTAGCAAAACTATCAAGATTCACCGATTGACCGGCATTTGTCCACTTTTGGTTTAGTCAATGGTTCAACTCCCAGGTTGGGAGTAGAGTCATCGACCCTGTAAATGGGAATCAGGAGCTAGTGGTAAGGAGGGATTGGTTGCTAAGGATGCAACCACAAATTTTCTCTGTAATCATCTAAGCCTCAGAAGCTCTGTGATTGGGGCCTGCCTGGCTATGCTTCCCCGCAAGCAGCCAAGCTCCTGTGCCAGACACCACCCTTCACCCTCCCTTGGTCCTTTCTTGTCAACCATCTGAGATTTTGCTAGAATTTGAAGGCAGGGGTGGGGTGGGCACTATATTCATGCTGAGCGTCTTGTTTCCAGGTGGGAGAAACGCACAGACCCCCGAGGCAGATTTTACTATGTGGATCACAACACTCGGACCACCACCTGGCAGCGCCCCACAGCCGAGTATGTGCGCAACTATGAGCAGTGGCAGTCACAGCGGAATCAGCTCCAGGGCGCCATGCAGCACTTCAGCCAAAGATTCCTCTACCAGGTGAGAGGGCAGAAATTGCAGCTTCGCCTAGTCTCCACTGACCTGTTGGGTGAGCAGGGAAAATGTCAGTGCCCTGACCCTGGGATTTTACTCATCACAGTGAAATTCCTCAAACTCCAGTGTTTCTAACTTAGTAACTCAATGCTCAGCCTCTGTGTCTAAGGCAGCGGTTCGCAACCTGTGGGTCGCGACCCCTGAAAATACATCCTGCATATCAGATATTTACATTAAGAATCATAACAGTAGCAAAATTACAGTTATGAAGTAGTAACGAAAATAATTTTATGGTTGGGGGTCACCACAACATGAGGAACTGTATTAAAGGGTCGCGGCATTAGGAAGGTTGAGAACCACTGGACTCAATGTGTCTGAAGCTGAATTCACCATTTCTTTCAACATTGGATTTCTCTTCTGGCCTCCCATCCAAGTCCATTTACCCGGACTCAGAGCCTGGTCAGCGGTGACTTCTCCTATATCTCACCCTTTCAAATCAAAGCAACCACCCAGATCCTTCTCTTCCCATTGCTACTGTGTTTCTTTAGGTCTTTATTATCGGACAGATACTAAAGGATGGAAGGGCCTTTAAAGTTCATCTAGATCAGGGGTTGGCAAGCTATGGCCTGTGGGCCAGACTGGCCCTCACCTGATTTTGTAAATAAAGTTTTATTGACACATAAGCACACCCTGTACTTGGGGTATTGATTGTGGCTGCTTTTAAGCTGTAATAGCAGAGTTAAGTAGTCACAACAGGGAGTATGTAGCCCATACAGCCTAAGATATTTACTGTCTGACCCTTTACAGAGAAAGTTTATTGACCCCCTAGTCTAGATCAACCTCCTGCTATCTAATTCCGGATTTTCCTCTGCCTCTTCCAACTGAATGGTTAGGGCAGCTTCTGAATTGTTCTCTCTGCTGCCATTCTCTCTCCTTTAATTCCTACTGCCTGTTCCCACCAGAGTATCACTGTCATTTCATCACTGTTAAAAAAAAAAAATCACTGTAGAGGGTTTAAGGACGGGGGGAGAGTGTTGCTCTACATTTATTACTGTCATTTTTAAAAATATATATTTTATTGATTTTTTACAGAGAGGAAGGGAGAAGGATAGAGTTAGAAACATCGATGAGAGAGAAACATTGATCAGCTGCCTCTTGCACACTCCCTACTGGGGAGGTGCCCGCAACCAAGGTACATGCTCTTGACCGGAATTGAACCTGGGACCCTTGAGTCTGCAGGCGGACGCTCTATCCACTGAGCCAAACCGGTTAGGGCAATTACTGTCATTTTTTATCACTGGCTCAAAAACTTTTGTGGTCATTATCTACAGAATAGCATTTAAATGTTCTACTCCAGAATTCATAGTGGTCCCAAATGAACTGTCTATGGTTTCCCGTACTGTGAACCCTCTTAGCCCCACCTTTTGAGTCTCCACTCCATCAGAGCTTCCACCAGTAACATGGTGGCTGGAGGGAGCCCAGACACACGGCCTTTTGAGGAGGAAAGAGTAGGATTCCCAAGTTGGAACTCTGCATTTTCTCAGAGCACCTTGAATATGGAGCTTGGGATCTGTGTAGAACCCTCATAGGACGTGGTGGATTGGAGGTTGGAAACTTTGTGAGCTGGTCCACAACATTTAATCCCTGTCACAAGAAAGAGCAGCTGAAATGCCCTGGTGGTCCACCAGGTGCAGCACTGCCTGAGTCCTTATGCCAGGCCTCCCACTCTATAACCCCTTTCAATCATGCCTGGCATCCGGTTCTGGCATGTTTCAAAATGGGATGGGATCTGGTCATCCTCTGCGTTTCAGAAATTGTTCTTCATGAGCTGGGCCCCAAAGACCTTACCTGCCATTTGCTTGGGTGGTCCTTTGACTTCACGACAAGGACACATTTTAGGAGTCTCACATGATTCTGTCTTCCTGCTTATCCAACTTCTCAAGTTAAAAAAGAATCCATTAAAGGGATCTTTTTTCTTCTCTAACAAGTACCACGTAGGTCCTGTAGGTTGACCAAGATGCTTGGTATGTGAAAGGGAAGATCCCGGAGTTCACGTCTGCTTGGTCTTTTGTTCAGCTTACCTGCCTCTCATTTTAGCAGCATCATTCTGGGCCTGCAGAGGAAGAACTTTGACTTGGAGGGTCTCCTAGAAGTAAAAATTAAGCACTAAATTTTTTTTTCTTCTTTTTACGTACTCTAATATGGTTTTCTCAGCTTGGTTGGGGATTTAGGAGGTCTCTGGATGACGGTGATGGTTCCCTTTTCTCCCTGAAACAAGACCCATATTTTTTGGGTCAGCTTTCAATGTCTCTCTGTTGATTTCCCTCCCCGTTGGGTTCGGTTTGCCCCTCTTGTTTGCTGTGGTGCCATGTCCTGGTTACAAGTAAGAAGAGTCGCTTTCATGGAGTTATTTTGGGGTTTGGCCTTGGCCCAGGATTTAACGTGGTAGACTTAAGAGCTGATACTATACCAGCGGCCTCCCCTCCTCCTCTTTCTCCTGCGGGGCTGAAAGTGAGACCTGTTCTTTGCTGCCCTGCAGAGCACAAAATACAGTTCAAGATGGAAATCAAGGGAACCCCAGATTGCAGACTCCCGCAGTTCCTTCCTGCCATCTGCCTTAACACTCATCTTTTTCGGTCTCTGTTGTTCCCTTATTTCTGACATGTTTTCCTGTCCTAACGGCCTGGTGCCTTTGTTGCTCATGATCATCATGCACATACTTGTGTTTGATGTGCACTTTCACTTTGCCCTCTGTTTTGGGTTCCCACTGCAGTCCACTGAGGATGCCCGGCCCGATCGTGCGCATTGTGTATTGTGACAGGACCCGTCTCACATCTACTACTATTTCTGCTACACCTCTTCCTTTGCTCCCCCGTTGGTCCTCTCCTAATAATCTAGTGTTGGCAGGACAGAAGCAAATCATTCTGTGGCTCCTAATATGAGGATGCCAAACTGCATTATCCAGAAACAGACAACCTGGTTCTCACTGTGCAGAGGGCCCCGTGGCTTGGGTTCTCAAGCACCTGGGTTTTGTTCTGCACCCACTGGGTGTAACCTTTACAAAAAAAGAGCCTGCCTTCCACACTGTAACCTTTATGCCCTTCCCAGAGCCTTTCTTGCCCTTGGTTTTATTTGCTAGACATTCTTTATTTCTGAGTTTGTATCTTAAAATATTACCGGAACTTGGTGCTTATTCCCCGAGAGACTTGAACTCACATGAGCTGTCTGGCTCATGGCCTGTACCTCGGATCTCCAAACCAACGGACGCATCCCAGGAAAATTGTTCAACAGCGTTCCTTTCTGTTCCTAGTGATAAAGGAAACTGTCTTGTCTCTTCGAGTCCTAGGATCTCTCTTCTGGCTATAATCCCTCCCGGCCCCTTTCTCTGTGCTTTTCTGCTGTGAGCCACCCACCTGCGATCGTGCATTCTGGGAAGGGTGGTGGAAGAGAAGGGCAGGTGGTCGGCTCCCAGTGACTCCATTTCACGTGTTCCTGTTTATCAGTTTCTGGTCTCTATCTCCCTCCCTCCTGCTTCCTCTTCTCTCTTCTGACAGGCGTTGGAGGTGAGAGTAGGAGGATGCTGAAGACATTTTTAAAAAACCACTTTAACAAAAGAGAGCCACCATTGTATGAAGTTTGTGACATTAAAAAGTCAAGGATTAAGAAAAGGGCTGATAATTTCTTTTTATTCTTCTCCCTGTGTTTTGTATGCTAGTCAGTGTTCATTTCGATGAATAATAGAAACCTGCTTGGTTAAGCTTAAGCAAAAAAAAATTTATCAAGTGGGAATTAACAGAACGATGAAGAACCAAACTCTGGCAGAAAACCAGGGGTAGGCAGGGCAAAGGGATGATTTGCCTAGGACATCGCTCATCTGTCTGCGGTCAAACACTCGATGCTTCAATGGGCTGTGGTCTCTACTGAAGCAGTGAGGCATCTCCAACAGCCCCCATGCTTTCTTTCCGGTCCCTGCAAATTTGGGTGGGAGCACCTGATTGGCTGTTCTTAAATCATGTGCCTACACTCTAGATGCTGTGTTATTTGCTAGCTGATAAATATTTTATATATTTTTTTAATTGATTTTTTTATGAGAGGACGGGAGAGAGATAGAGAGAAACATAGATGAGAGAGACATCGGTCAACTGCCTCCTGCATGCCCCCTACTGGGGATGTGCCTGCAACCAAGGTACATGCCCTTGACGGGAATCGAACCTGGGACCCTTCAGTCCTCAGGCCGATGCTCTATCCACTGAGCCAAACCAGTTAGGGCGATGATAAATATTTTTTGTTTGTAGTTCAATGCAGGTCAGAGACTGTCAGTAAAGACATTTGGTCTGTTGATTTATACAGTTAAGCAAAAGATGCCTGTAAGTCCACTGAAACCCATTTGGTCCCCATCGGAGCCCCTCATTGCTTGTGGATGGTCCACCCATTCCAAGAAAAGACCTGAAGCAGCAAATATTTTGCACCAAATGCTTCTTTTAAATTCTTAAAATGACCTTTGCTGTAGTTCTTTCCTTCTTCAAGGTCATTGCCGCAGCTCAGTACTTACCCCACGACATTGTATTTGGCTTCATTATCTGAAATGCATGGGTGTTTCAAACAAACGTGGAGGAACTTGAGATGCTGCACCCTACCCCCAGCAAAACGACCGCTGTGAATTTGGGAGATCTTTTTCAGTAACCATCAGACCCACCCGCATTGTGGTGAAGATACTGCGCACGTCCTCCACGGCACACTGCTGGTAACGTGCCCTACATGGAGGACAGCCCGCCTCCCACACCTTGGTGCAGTTTCATTCTGCTGGGTTGGAGGCCCGCTGCTGAAAGGGGGCTCTGTCCCATCAAGGAACCTATGGTTTCCAGACTTAAACGTCTTTGTTGGAACTCACTTTGGAAGAGTTGCTTGTGCTGCCACCTTGGAAAGAAAGTTTCTCTGTCCTTTCAGCGGGGGGTGGAGGGTGGCCGTGAAAGGGGGTTCGTTGGCAGTTGAGCTCCACCAATGTTTTCTCAAGCCGAGACTGAGCTCCATTCATCCTCATGCCTGTGTGTGGCTCCGGAGGGGCCGGCCAGGCAGCTCCCAGTCTGCACTGAGAACTTGATCCCCTAATGTAATGATTAAATTTTAGTAAGTGAAATAAAAATGTTTCAGAAAAAAAGAGAGAGAGAGGGAGGAAGAAAGAAAGCGCAGAACAATACTTGTTTTATTTAACTATGAAGAGTTTCTGACAGCACCCCCTTCCCCGCAGGATATGAGAACTCTTGGTCCACGGCAGCCCCGCCCCAGGGACCTTGCAGCAGAATTTGGCTGGGGGTGGGGGGCTCTAATGTAAACAGCGACCCTGAAGTCCTGGAGTCGGCTCCCCCTTCTTTCTCCTGTCTCCCCTTCTCTCTTGCCACCTCGCCCCCAGCCCCACCTCCCCAGACAGGCACACACAGAACACTGTGCAACTTCAGGTTCAGGCCGGAGGAGAATAAAGGTGCTTTGTGAAGGGAAGCAAAACATTCCTGGGGGAGGTGAGGGGCCTGGGGCATGAATGTGCCCTCAGTCTGGGCCGGTGCTGCACACCCTGCTCCCTCTTCCAGCGCACCCAGGAGGGAGGTGCGGGGAGGAGGGCCCAGCCCCCAGCCAGGAAGCTCTGGGCGTGGGCAGGGCTTGTGGGAATGATTTCATTGGAAAGGCCTGCGATATTTTTTCCCCTCCCGTGTGTGGTTCTTGGAGAAAGTTGGAGGTGGTGGTGATTTCAGTTGCCTTGGCCGCGGAGAGCAGGAGCTAAGCAGAGGCACTGGGCCGGCTGAGCTCGCCAGCAGCCCGGCTCTGGGCCCTTCGGCCATGCCTGGGGCCAGCCCGCTGCCTCCGGGGCCCTGGCCCGCCTTCCTCTGTGCACCTCTTCCTCCCCCTCACTCCACCCTCGCCAAAACCTATCTGGGTCCTCAGTGTGCAGGGTTCTTTTTTAGTTTTTCTTTTTGGAAAAAGACTTTTGAGGGGAGCGGATGTCACCTAAAGCCCCACGACCTCCTCCACAAAGAGCCCAAATGTGGAAACGAGTTGTTGGCGGTTTTAGGTTTATCTATCAATTTATTTTTAACCAGCGGCGTTTTTTTAACCTCTGTGTTCTGCTGTGTTTCTTGTGTTTAGTCTTCGAGTGGTTCAACCGACCATGACCCACTGGGCCCCCTCCCTCCAGGCTGGGGTAAGTACCGAGTCCCATGTCTGTCCCTCAGCCTCCCTTAGCGGGTGCTGCTCCGTGCTCTGTGCTCTCCCTGCGAGTCCTCCTCTCTCCCCTCCCTCGGTTTCCCAGTTCACTTCTTTCCAGCACGCTCTGTGGGGATGCCCAGCCAGAGAAATTGCAGGCCATGGAGCGAGAAGGCTGGGAAAGTAATGGAGTCCCCCTGCCCGTAGCATTCCCCCGCCATAGCGGAAGGAGGGGGACGCTACGAAAGAAGTCCCCCGAGCGGCTGTCGTACTGTTGGGTTTCGGTCCTGACTTTCAAGGTGTCGACCCAACAACCCATCCTGTCACTAAGACATTTTGACGTGGCTGATTCCCAGATGCGTTTATTTCAGGCCCGTGGCCATGTGATTGAAAGGAGCTACCTTACCAAACCTTTCTTTGCAGCTGAGATGTTGGAGGACTAAGAGCATCTAGCTCAGCCTCATTTAGGGAGAAATGGGACTCAGGAACATTCGGGGCATGTGCCCAGGCTCAGGGCAGCTGAAGAGATGTGGACCTAACACTGAGATGCTCCAACCCCTGAGCTAATGGAAGCCACCTTTTTGGGGGGACACAGCTGTGAAAGGGGCCGCAGGGAAGCCAGCTGAGCACTGGGCGGCGACTCTATTGAAGTACACTATTGCTAGTTAACGGCATCAGGCTGGCTTCTCCTTGTCACTGATAGCTGCCTCTTACATAAGTCTTTGGTGTGATTTGCAGTAATGAGTTAGATGGACATCTATGACTTGAGAGAAATTACAGACGTCATGGCTTTTCTGGGATGGAGTGGTATGCAAAGAGGGGTTATCACAGACGGCGAGACTGGGTGCTTTCCGTCGCTCTCTGAGCTGGGTCAGGATTTTTTTTCAGCAGGCAAGAGTTCCTGGGGGCTAAAGAGGACCGTGTAGCAGGAATTGGCCTGTGTTGGGTTTAATTGATTGGTTAGGCCGGCAGAAGACAGTAAATGCGGGTTTGGTGGTGTTCACAGATGGTATTAAGTTGGGCGGGGGCATGCTCCCCAGCGAAGATGGAGAGGCTGACAATGACAGGATGCGCATCTGAGCCTCTTGGTGCAGACACAACTACTCCCTGGTAGTAATTTGCGAGGTTGCATCAACCCCGTGGGACCTGCAGGGTATCATCAGCCCCTTCAGGGTATTACCACAGCATTCCAGAGCACTGGAGGGACCTCCTCGTCCTCCTAGTGGGATAGGTCAGTGAGGGAGGCCTCCACACAGTTGATTTTCTGCTAGAGAATCCACCTTGCTCCCTGAGCGATGAAAGGTCATTGCCGTCTCAGAGGCTGGTAGCAAGTCAAAGGTGAGGGAGTCCCGCACGGGACCCCTGTCTGGATAGGGGAAAACTCAACAGATTAAACAAGAATCTGTAATGCTGTTTGGCAGCCAGTAGACCCTGTGACCTGGAGCTGGGGACTCAGAGTTGCACCTTTCTCCATAGAGTCAAGTAATTTATTTCTGTACCAGTTTTGCTAAATGATGGTCACCAAGTAAGGGTGGCTGTAAGGACTTGTAAACAGTTCCCAGAAGCCACGTGTGACATATTTGAGATGGGACTCGGAGCCACGCTTGGAGTCGGTGCTGTTTACAAATGAGGAAAACACGACAAAACTAAAGGGTATGTGACTGAGAAAAAAGAACATCTGGCCAAGGGCCAGGGGCCTTCCTGATCAAATCCTTTGGGCTTTGTGTTGGCTTCTCCAGGGCTGGTGCAGGCATCCCCCCAGGGAGAGCGGAGATTGAACAGAAAGAGCAGCAAAACTAAACGAGAACTGCCTTTAGCACGAGCCTGCTGCCAGGTCTGCTGTGTCCTCCTGCTCTCAGTCCTGCGTCCCTTCCTGCTCCTCCATGACAGACCCCGTGGTCCTTCCTGAGCGTCGGCTCAGGGGTCGGGGCATCTCAGCGTTAGGTCCACCTCTCCTCAGCTGCCCTGATCCCTGGGCACATGCCCGAATGTTCCCGAGTCCATTTCTCCCTAAATGAGGCTGAGCTAGATGCTCTTGGGACTCTCCCAGCCCCAAAGTATGAAATTGTATGCAGCAAAGCAGTTCCGAGGCACCACACGAGGCCCCCCATACAGGGAGCAGTGCCAGAAGCGAGGGCACAGGCCTCAGACCTACTGGGCAGATCCCGCAGCCTGGCGGTGAGCGCTGACTGAGGCCCCGGCAGAGCAGATGTGGAGGGTCCAGTTGAGAGCAGAAGCCTCTGGCTGGGAGCCCTTCCCTCCTGCACGTCCCTCTCGGGAAGCCTGTGTTCAGTGGGACAGTCCCACAGTGCTTCTGAGGTGCGGCTAGCTCTGTAGCAATTCTGGGCACCTTCTCTCGACTCCTTTTGTGTGTGTGTGTTTTTTATCGATGAATGGATACCAGGTAAGATAGACGGAGACCAAAATCTTGGGTTGGTAATGGGAATGTTGCAGCCTGACACTTGAGGGGAGGGGATGGGGCCCCCCCAGTTCTGCTTCTTTTCGATTTTAGTTTCCCTGTTAGGTTCTGGAACTGATTGTGTTTATTTTTTTAATTTTTCCCTGTCATCATAAGTGAGAGAGGGCCATTAGCATCATTTGTTCTCAAGATAGAAACAGATTTGAAGCCTCAGAAACTTCCTGGGGAAGGTGACCCGTCTTGGGTTCAGAGCCTTGCCCTGAGTTTTGCCTTCCATCCACTCAGAGCTGATAGGGTGTCCCTTTTAACCTTTTCCAGGGCCCGGAATCCCCACTAGAATCAGGTCTGCTCCTGAAGCCCAGATTCCCTCCCTAGAGGACCCCAGAGCCATCCTCCGTGCACAGGCAAAGAGCAAGAGAGTAAGGATTGTCCCGAGGAGAGAGAAAGAATGTCTGAGCTCTCCCAAATGCTGGACGCATGCCCTTAGGTGTGAGCGCTACATGGGCGTTGTAAGTGCCGCAGCCCCTGCATTTATTTGCACATATGCAACATAGATGTTTTGCTGGGACGTGAGAGTTTCAGAACAAAACTTTGCCTCTGAGGAGAAAAAAGACCAAGGGAGGGTAGGTGGAGTGCTGATCAGAGAGGTGTGAGGGAAATGCAACCCCCACAGGCGCCTGGGTCCCTGCATCTGGTGGGCAGAGCGGCTGCAGGACCAGAGACCAGCTGTCAGGGACTTGGGGGGGGGGCGCATGGGTGAGGGCCTCCACTTTGCACACAGCTGGATGCAATTAGGCCTCTGGTTTCAGCTGGGCTGCTCCCCCTCCATGTTGCCACACTGCCCCCCGCCCTCCAACCAACCAACCGAAGACAGTGCTTGATCCTGAGCTGGAAATGTGACTGTCCCTCCACCACTCCCCACTAGGGAAAGATTCTCTTTGTCATTTTTGCCAGTGACACATGTGTGTGAGCTGGGCTTTTATTGGATAAACTTCTCTAACAGGGCGGGAACAGCGGCGGCAAGTCAGACCCCAGCACCTGGAAAGGGGCACCCAGAGGGGGAGAGAACAGGGCTCAAGATGTCCCAATCTGACTGTCCTCCTTTCTTTCTTCTCCCTGGCAGAGAAGAGACAGGACAACGGACGGGTGTATTACGTGAACCATAACACGCGCACCACCCAGTGGGAGGACCCTCGGACCCAGGGGTAAGGGCTCGGGCTGGGAGGGGGCCCCGTGCAGCTCCAGCACTGGCCGATGGCCTTGGACTGCATTTGTCCTCGATGGCCAGTGTTCTGGGACCTTCAGCCACACACAAGTGCTGGAGACCCTCGTGATCCAGTGTCAGCCGAATGAGAGCCTAAAGGGGCTCCTTAAATGGACTTTCCTGGTAGCTGTGTTGACTGTGCAAGCTGCTGATAACATGATTTCACCCTGTGCTCCCCCCACCCAAGCTGGTCTGGGACTGGGGCAGTTGGTGCCTCAGGATTGCTGGTGGCCACTCAGGCTATGGCCATGGCCACTGAGGGCTGGTTCTTGGGCCTTGGGTCAGTAAACTACCTCTCAGTTCTGCACAACTGTCCTCATGACTTGGGTGGGACCAGGTACAGTTCCTCAAGGAAAAGCTTTGCAGAACCTGGGTGAAAGCAGAGAGAAAGGAGTACTTTGGGGATCCCAGCCTCCTAAGCATTGAGGCCCAGAAGGTGAGGCCAGCCCTAACCCCCCTCTTCCTCTTCCCGTGTTGGCAGGATGATCCAGGAGCCAGCTCTGCCCCCAGGGTGGGAGATGAAGTACACCAACGAGGGGGTGCGCTACTTTGTGGACCACAATACCCGTACCACCACCTTTAAGGATCCTCGCCCAGGGTTCGAGTCAGGGTAAGGACTTGCCACAGGCGACAGCAGTATCCATGTTCAGCTGCTCTTACTGCCCTCTAGTGACCAATTTCCATGTCACATCAGCAGGGTTGGGGAAGGAGGGGGCCACCCCAGTTATTCAGAGTAACACCAGTGGTTTCCTCTCTCTCTCAAAGCAAAAATCTGTCGTTATTTCTAGGTTTTTGTTTGTTTTACTTCTCAAATCTGCCAAAGATTTTAAAGGCAGTCACTTCCTCTCTTTTATGCCTTAACTTACTCGTCTTTAAAATAGCACCAGCTGTCCTTAGGGCTAACAGATACATTGCTAATTTTTGAGAAATCACAGATTCCAGAACTTCTTTGCTCTTCCCAGGGCGAAGCAAGGTTCCCCTGGTGCCTATGACCGAAGTTTCCGGTGGAAGTATCACCAGTTCCGTTTCCTCTGCCATGTGAGTTCTGGTGCTGGGCCGTCCCCTGCAGGGTGGTGTGGTGGACTTGTTTCAGCTCCATTTCCCAGCCCAGCAGCAGTCTGATCAGCTGGGGGCAGGCCACTGATCTGACCCTGAGCCGTTGTTTGACATGGTCTCCAGGAAGCCAGCTCCCATTCCTAGGGACCAGGCTCTCCTCTCCCGGCCCAGGGAGACAGGGAAACCTCCTCATACAGACAGGAGGCCAGACTGAATAATTACCTCCTGAGGCCTGATTCAAGGTTTGTCTTTTCTCCTTTCAGTCAAATGCCCTCCCCAGCCACGTGAAGATCAGCGTTTCCAGGCAGACACTTTTTGAGGATTCTTTCCAACAGGTTAGAAAATAATTACGGTATCTATCTAAGTCCAGAGGCAGGTGAAAGGCCCCCTCCCAGCACCCTGTCTTCTGTCACGTGGCCTATTAGACCCACACAGTAGAGTTTCCAAGGCCTGGGCCTCGGTGAGTGGTGTCTGTCCCCTGCCCCCTGCTCCCAGTTGCCTTGAAGGGAGAGTGGCAGGGTGGCCACGATGCTCTGTCTCCCCAGATCATGAACATGAAACCCTACGACCTGCGCCGCCGGCTCTACATCATCATGCGTGGCGAGGAGGGCCTGGACTACGGGGGCATTGCCAGGTGAGCTCGGTGCCCCGGGAAGGCTGCGCTGCACCCCACTTCCCCAGGGTACTGGGCCTGTGGCCGGAAAGCTGCCTCCTCCTTGCTCAGATTGGTGGCCAGTGCCCTTACACTTCTTCAGGAATGGGCACAGGTATGGCCAGTTCAAATGCTGGAACTGGGTCCCAGGGTTCCCTGCTGGGCTGGGCACTAACCTTTAGTTACTGGGTCTCCCTCTGGGCTCAGGGCAATGGCTTCTTTACCAACCAATCTGTCATTATTGCTGTACTTGAACACCATCTGCTGCACCGGTGGGCAGCAGCTAAATATCGGTGCCATGTGGTCGTCCATTAAAATCACCCCTGGACTTCTACTTTTAAGGCCGCTGGGGCAGGTTAAGTGGGGCATCTTGGTACATACCCGGCATGGATAAGCTGTGTCACAATCCAAAGGGCCTTGACCAGCATTCAGCTGCATGTCACCCACACAGGGTCAGTACAGTTCAAACGGCTGACACAACCCCCAAAAGAGCCCAAAGCATTGTTTCGCCCTCACCATAGCCCACCTACAAAAGTTAGCAGACTCTCTAGCAAAACGTTGCCTTGGACGATGGGGCTGAAGGGCCCGGCAGAGAGAAGGAGTATCTTAGCCTGTGGTGACTGCTCGGCTCCCTCACCTATCTCGGAGTGGGGACATCTCGCTTGGTGGTGGGTTAACTTGCTGCTGGTCCTCTGTTCGTTGGTGGCTTTGCCCTCTGTGTTGGCCCCCGTGGATCGATGGCTGTCTTTCCCGTGGTGACCGTGGTGACCTCCTCTCCAGGCTCTGCTTGGTGGGCTTCTGGTGTGGCTCCCGCCCTGTGTGTGTCCGTCTCTCTGTGTCCTGCCAGTGGTTTTACCCTATGGTAGGTTACGTCATGCTGTTCTACCACAGGGTAGAACCACGGACAGGATACCGGGGCACCCTCTGCATCGAAGGACTCCTCGTCTGCCTGGCCACAAACAGCCCAGCAGCCAGGGACTGGCCTCGTTGGGTTGTCCCCCTGTGGGTTTAGCTGAAGCCCAAAAGGACTCTGAATTCTGGTTTGAGGCTTGTACCTAGAGTGCAAAGAGACTCTAAGGCATGGGTGTTGGTTCAGATGAACGCGTAGAAGGACAAGCAAGGTCTGGTAATGGGGCCTGGGGGAGGAGCGGGCGAAGTGCAAGGAAAGCAAGAGACCTGCAGTGGGAGTGAGGTTTATAATCTGCAGGCAGCATGGATCACAGTTCATGCGTCAGGAGGTGGGAATGCATTAGCATGTGTTCATGTTACGCCGCCTGCTCAGGTCGGGTGGAAGCGGGGTGGCTGCTATTCATACAGCATCACTGCAAGATTTAGAAAAAGATGCCTTTTTTCAAGACACTTCCATGTTGGAAAATGGTGGCGATATTCTGGCTTTAACAGAAAGAAACAGCTTGGCTGCAGGAAAGTTGTTGCAATAAATGTGCAAATCTATGATATTTTGCCACAGTACTCTTGTGTAGTGCACAGCCTACACAGCTGTGCATGGTGGCCCCGGGGTGCCAGGGGCCCATTGCCATTAAGATGTAAAGTCCTGGATGCCCACCCGGAGCCGACACACTCACGTTTTCCTGAGCGTCACCCTCAAGCGGGGCTGTCGTCCTCGCTCGCCCTGGGTCTGACCCCACCCTGCCCACTGACCTGCTGTTACTTCAGATTAGCCAGGTGCTGGCTCGCCTGCCCAGGACCCGTGTCTCCAGAGCAGCCGAGAAGGACGGCAGAGGAGCGGTGTGCCTCCAGCCCGCGTGCAGGGGAGGATCCGCTAGTCCTGTTTCTCTCTCTCTCTCTCACAGAGAGTGGTTTTTCCTCCTGTCCCATGAGGTGCTCAACCCCATGTATTGCTTATTCGAATACGCCGGGAAGAACAATTACTGCCTGCAGATCAACCCCGCCTCCTCCATCAACCCCGACCACCTCACCTACTTCCGCTTCATCGGCAGGTTCATTGCCATGGTAAGGTTCATTGCCACGAGACCTCCAGGGAGGGGGGCAGCCGAGGAGCCAGACCCTACACACCACTAGCAGCCCCACTGTCATCCTCACGGAACTAACTAAACATGCAAAAAGCCAGAGAGAGTTCGGGACCAGTTCGGACTTCTCTCAGTGCCCACCCAGGGGCATCGAGAGGGTTTCTCCATGGTGACCTGTGGAGGACTTGTCGAGCGAAAGCCAGGGCCCTGGGTCGTCACGGGCTTCACAAGTGCTCTTCTGAGGGTGTTGGGATGACGGGCTGAGCACACCATAACTGCCCACCTGCCGCCCACCTCTGGGGGTGCCAGCACCGGCCACAAGCCCAGGGTGGGAGCATTTGGGACTGTCCTGCTGTGTGACACTGGCCTGTGTCAGGGGATATGGAATCTGCACTGGCTTAGAACAGACCCTAGTTGACTGGGTGGTGCCCAATGGAGGAGGCATCTGTCAGGAGCTGGCAGGGTAGGGAAGGGGGTGGCACGCTTTATCTGTACTTACCTAGAAATAGGAACATAGCGTGAACAGGGAAGGGGGTCATGTCACATGCATCCGGTTGAATGTCTCCTGAGGGTGGAGAAGCAGGACTGAGAGGGGAGCCCATGGGAGCCCCACTGCCATATTTGGTAGTTGCTGTTTCACTGCTAACTTTCCTTTACTTCGCCCTGTTCCCCTCTCGGGAGGGCCCAAGAGCCGGTGACTAAATATGTCCCTTCCTCTGGTCTGGAAGTTCTTGGCCAAGGTGTTGGGCTCAGGAAGTGGGCACATTTTTCCCAGGTCCAGAGATCTGCTTGGCCCAGCAGCCGCCAGGCCAGTAAAACCCTAGACTATTACTCACCACTGGCCCGCCAGCTCTCGCCGTCAGCGGCGTCTGCATTATTTTTGGCTGCTGGTGCTGCCCAGCTCTGAGCGTCGGCGAGTCAGGGCTGCCACCGGGAGCTGTGCTGAGCGAGTCTTCTCTGTGAGTGTGGGCGCATCTTTGCTAGAGCCGGGAGCCGGCAGGCAGGTGTGCCGGGCAGGCAGCGGGCCCGAGGTGGGTTCCTGAGCAGGCGGCTCTGCTCCGTCCCTGTGGTCTGCAGGTCAGAGAAGAGTCTGTCCCCAGGTCCCCGTCAGGACACAGGACAGAGTGCTGCCTATATCCCAGACCCTCCCTTGGGGCCTGGGGTAGCTGAATGCGTGGTGCTCTCCGGGCAGAGGGCAGCGGACGGTGCCTGGGCTCTGATACAGAGCACCCTGGAGCCTGCCTGCAGGAACGCAAACCTCCGCTGTGCATCCTCCCTCCCCAGGCTCTGTACCATGGAAAGTTCATTGACACGGGCTTCACCCTCCCTTTCTACAAGCGGATGCTCAACAAGAGACCGACCCTGAAGGACCTGGAGTCCATCGACCCCGAATTCTACAACTCCATCATCTGGATCAAGTGAGCCCCTTGCTTGCCTCGTGTTGGGGGGAGAGGGATCTCTGGTTGGGAGTAGGTACCCACGGCCTTTATTTTCTCTGCCATAGTGGCCTCTGGGCCTCACCCAGGCTGTCTGGGTGTTGGTGGAGATGCTCAGCTTCTAGGTGCCCATGGGGCAGCTCCGGAATTCTCTCCTTGCACCAGGCAGAGGCCCGTGCTGCTGTCCCGTGTCCCAGGGGCCCTAAAGTGAGTGGTAGAGCGGGATCGAGGGAAGACCCTTCTGAGAGAGATGTCTTCCCTCTTGTGCTCTCGTGCCCCCAGAGAGAACAACCTAGAGGAGTGTGGCCTTGAGCTGTACTTCATCCAGGACATGGAGATTTTGGGCAAGGTGACGACCCACGAGCTGAAGGAAGGTGGCGAGAGCATCCGAGTGACGGAGGAGAACAAGGAGGAGTACATCATGTGAGTCTCAAGTGCTGGGAGACGGAGTGGGGGTGCGGGAGCAGAGACACAGAGGCCTGCGCATAGCCCATAGGTCTCCAGGGGTCACAGAAACTCCCATTTTGCATGGCCTTCAGATGGCGGCCCGTGAATGGTCACATGCTGACCAGAGCTGGGGGAGCCGGAGCCCAGAGCCCTGTGGCAGCTCCTTCTTGCTCTCTGGTTTCCCACATGGTGGACTTAGGGCTGCAGGGCTGACTTTCCTCGACGAGTCCTGAAACGCAGACACCTTTCTCTTCTTTCTCCCAACTGCAAGGACTGCTGGTCCTGTGTGCTCAAACCCACCATCTCACATGCGTGTGTGCATGCGTTCACCTGTGCGTGTTCTTCAGGTCTCAGTCTAGTCTGTTAACATCCATACGTCTGAGGCTCAGGCGGCGGCAGGAGGAGGAGGTGCTGGTGGTGATTTAAAAGACTCACGTATCTCCGGGCTGCTGGGAGGGTTAAGAGGTTCTGCTCTGGGGCGGCAGCAGCTAGGGCTCGCAGCCCAGAAATGGGAAGTTGCGTCTCAGCAGATTCCTCTCGGGCTCCACCGACAGGCTGTCTTTGTTTCAGGCTGCTGACCGACTGGCGCTTCACCCGGGGCGTGGAGGAGCAGACCAAAGCCTTCCTAGACGGCTTCAACGAGGTGGCCCCCTTGGAGTGGCTGCGCTACTTTGATGAGAAAGAGCTGGAGGTGAGAACTACGGTTGTTGGGACCCTGAGCCCCTGCCTCTGGGGCGATCCTGCCCTTGGATAGCCTCACTGTGTACCCACAGAAATGCCCCGTAGAACCCATACTGCCCAGGACTGTAGCAACAAGCAAATAACTTTTTATTTGGGTCCTCACACCCACCCTTCCCTGGGCCCTGGTGTGAGGGGGTCCATGTGCACGATTTGTGCTGTCCATATGATTAAAGCTGCCAGCAGAAGTAGATGGCAGTGCCTGGGGTGGTTCCACCTGCTGGCGGGAGGGCCGGCGCGGCTGACGCCCTTTCTCTCGCAGCTGATGCTGTGCGGCATGCAGGAGATAGACATGAACGACTGGCAGAAGAACACCATCTACCGGCACTACACCAAGAACAGCAAGCAGATCCAGTGGTTCTGGCAGGTGGGTCCTGCCTGGTCATCGCAGCCCCCAAGGGACACGAGACCCGACTCGACCTCAAGCCCAAGGACTCTGCTGTGTTATCACCTCCCCGACCTTTGGCACTCTCCTCATCTCCCCCAGCAACTTGCAAAAGGAGATGAGAAACCCAATCTCAGGACAGATGGAGCTGTTGCAGCTGGGTGGTGGCCAGTGCATTGGACAGGAGTGTCGGTGGTCAGCTGGGGTAGCTCTAAACGCCAGTGTGTGGTAGGGGAGCCCGAAGGCAGGGGAACGCTCCCATAGGTCACGTGGGACGGGAAAGCATTCAGAGAAACTCCTGTATGTAAGGAGCTGTGTGTGGGTGGTGGTGTCACTCTGAAGTATAGCAAATACACAAAAAGAAAATAACTATATAGAAATGTTTCGGTTGAGGTGAAATTCGACATACCATAAAACTTACCATGTTAAGCATTTTAAAGTGTATAGTGCAGTGGCTTTTGTGCAACCATCATGATTAGCTAATTCCAGAACAGTTCATCCTCCTTCCCCCTACCCCTACATCCCCCCAAAACACCAACCTGTACCCATTTTTAAGCAGTCACTCCCATTTTTTGTACATCTTAAAAAATAGAACTTGGAGAAGAGAATACCTGGCCCAAGGTGTTCTGAGACAGCCAAGCCCCGTGGACTGACGGGGATGTTCTATAAAGACAGCCTCTTAGAGGGAGCAGCTTAGGGGTTTCCCAGGTGGGTGGCTGTCACCCCAGGCCGTCCGGGCTTTGTGTGCTCGGCCTTAAAGAGGAGAGTTAGGGAGTCGGGTGAGGAGCTGGGCCACGGGGGTCACCTGACTGCTTCGACTTTCGGAGTTGCAGGTGGTGAAGGAGATGGACAACGAGAAGAGTATCCGGCTGCTGCAGTTTGTTACAGGGACCTGCCGCCTGCCTGTCGGGGGATTTGCCGAACTCATTGGTGCGTCTCCCCTTGCCCTGCTGGCACCCCTGGGTGGGGGTGAGGATGGCTCAGGGAGGGTGGGACCTAATGACTTCCTGGAAGCAAGTCCGTGGGAGGGGCAAGAGCTGTGGCCTCCGCCTCCTGGGCTGAGGCATCTGTGGGCGGAGCCAGAGGGTCCTGTCTTAGGAAGGGACAGCCCTGATATAGAAGATGTGTTTCTTTGGATAACAGGTAGCAACGGACCACAGAAGTTTTGCATCGACAAGGTTGGCAAGGAAACCTGGCTGCCCCGAAGCCACACCTGGTGAGCCTGCTGGTTCTACTGGGATGTGGCTGGAACCTCACAGACCCGATGCGCCCCTGAGGGCAGCCCAGTAGACAGGGCAACTTTGGGGCCTTGAGTCCAGCAACATTTGCATGTCTGTGGCTGTCGGGTTGGAGGGAGGGGCTGTGATATGCCAGCTGCCTTTGTCTGGGCCTCTGACCTTTCAGAAGTTGTGGCAGCAGACATATTGGGTATTAGATATTAAAGCACTTGTATTCCCGCAGGCAAAGAGCTGCTGCCCCAAGTGCCCTCTTGCCTACTTCCCCATTTCCCCAGCTGCCTGGCCTCTCTCCTAACCCCTCTGTGGTCCAAGAACCTGAAGCATTAAGGCCCCAAGAGCAGGGTCCTTGACATCTCTGTTTCCGCATCTTGCCAGCTGGTGGGTGTGGTGGTTGAGCCACAGTTGCCTCAACGCTCTTGACCCTCCTCGGCCAGCAGCCCTGAGCTTCCCGTGCTGACCGTCTTCGCCCCTCTCTCAACAGTTTCAACCGTCTGGATCTCCCACCATACAAGAGCTATGAACAACTGAAGGAGAAGCTGCTGTACGCCATTGAGGAGACGGAG